CATTGTTTCTAATTTCGTATTTCTTGTAATTGTACTACTCCGAATGTTATATGTATACCTATATCTACACGAGAGCAAGTCAGTAGGTACTGCAACCTACTTAAATTCGGAAGATTATACAAAACATTTTTTTATATAATTAAAAAGGCAATCACGACAGCCCCCCTGATAGTAAACGGTAACCGTCGTCTATATACATACAACATTATATAGATATCACGTATTCATGTAACACCCTTGACACTTGTCATGCGTGCTATTCCTGAGATCTAAGATGGCATGCCTCTTATCCTATGTCTAATTTTATTAATAGTCGTGTGAAGTGAATTCTTTAATCTCTATGGTACGGTTCATTTCCCTATCGATATAAACCATGCCAGAGCATCTACTAAGTACTTTCAAACAGATTAAATAGTAAATACAACTTTTTTCAGATTAGCTTAAACTTAGATTTAACTTGATCGAATCATTCATACTCGCGTAATACATACAATAAAAAAACGTTTGAAGTCATTTAGAATTAGTTGTTGCATCCAATGCGTTAAATTGGGAAAGCATTCGACATAAACACGACAAGTTGTGACAAAAACCCATTTTGGGTCGAGTTGCACCGATACAGCTGTGTGACACGGCAAGGTCGAAAGATCACGTCGAAAGCTTAGACAGGTTTTAAAGACGTACTAACATAAATGTAGTGACGTATTGAATGAAATCTGCTTCATTTTGTTAGTATGTATTAATTTAACATACATGCGTTTATTTACCGATGCGCATCTGTAAATAAACGTATGGATGTTAAAGAAAAATTAATTAGTAATATTATTCATAAAATTGTCAAACATCTACTGCACTTGTGAAAAAGAGCTAGTATACAATATGTTACGACTTCAGGATTTTAGCAACAAAATATTGCGAACCAAAAGAAAAGAAAATATATATTCGAAGCAATTAGTAAAACAGTCATATAATAAAATACATAATCAAAATCATGTCCATAATAATATTAAAACAGTGTATCTCTCTGTTCTTTTATTTTCACTACTATCACTTTAGAATGACACGAGAATGGAAATACTCTCTGTCTTTTATCCCAAAAATAAACTGAAATAAGAGATGAAAGTATTATGCAGACGAAGTCGCAAGTAAAATGTAGTTAGCTGTAAAATACAAATTAAAAAGTGGCATTCATTCATTCGCTATGTACTATTGTCTTATTTCAGCTATATCTACGCGTGGTACAGCATCTGGTAGAGAAAGCAAAGAATCCTACCGTATCCGCACAGGTGCGACAATTTTTCTCTAAGTTTTAGGATTGTTTATATTTTAGTGGAGTGTCTACAATATAAGCATAAAGCTACCCCGACATTTAAATGACAATACTTGATAATAGGAATAAAATTGAATTAATAAAAAAACATTTATATTTTCTAAGTTAAGAAATCATCAAGGCTTTTAGAACTGGAATTGGTCTTAATACTCTATGTACATATAAAATGCAACTCCACTGACTAGATACACGCGTTAGCTTGTTGGGTAACTCTTGTGATAAAATACTAGGTATTTTGCATAAAATCTATTAGGTAATAATATAGGATATTAGCACTAAAATAATATTGTTTGAATTATCATGATCCTTATAGGCCTCATTAATAAATAATAATCATTCTTTATATTTTTATGTAAATAAATAAAATAAGCATTTACCTCATGCATTTTTATTATGTCAAAATAACGCCTAATAATGAAACTATAAATTAATCCAACTTAAAAATGTAGGTTTTTAAAACAAAAATAAATTTATAGGTATTAAATGGCACACAATCTATAACTATTTTTCTGTTTCTTCGAATTCCTATGAAGAACATAAAACTAGTCCATTTATGATCTTGTTCTATAAAATATTTTAAAAAGTTTTATACACTTTATTGTATTCTGAGCTAAGTAATATAAAAAAGTATATTCTTGAAAAAAAAAGGAAAACATGCATTTCATTATCCCCAATTTATATGCTTGAGGTTTATTGATTAATATCACTAAAATAGATTTTTTTTTATTTATTCATTTATTTCAGGCAACTATTATAAGGTATTTATAATATGGGCCATATTATAAATACCTTATAGACTAACATACATATAATATAATATTTAAAAACTAATACATTGATATTGTCTGTGTGATTACGGCACTGATAATGTACTACAGGAAAGTGTTACGAAGTCGTTTAATTTATTATCATTTATATTACTTGATTTCATAGGAATTTCTCAATTGTATGTATTCCTACAAAATAATGTAAAATATAAAATCTACAAATACCCATAGAAACAAAATAAATCTTTAAAATAGCCACTAAAAGTGCCAAACATGCCTTCCTTGATATACTATACCTAATATTAATAGAGCGATTGGAATGGCACGAATAAAAATAATCCACCGTCAAATGATTACAGTGCATTTAATATATAAAAGTAGGTACCTAAATGAATCCTTTAGTTTAAATGTTTTTGCGTTAATTCAAATCATAAGTTTGAAGTAGACTGACGTTACATCGCCTACGTAGACAACATTTTTGGTCACCTCTTAGTAAAAATGAAAAATATTAAATTAAAAATATTTTTTTAACCAATTAATAAAGTATACCTAGGTACAACCGGTTAGTCTATAATTAATTTATATAATAGTCAGGTAGTGTCTGCCCATGAATGAGAACCAATCATATTAGTTCTTAGTATTTTTATATAATATCGCGTGTCAGACTAGGCTATTGTAATTGGCACAATTCCCAGCACAAACTGTTTCGAGAATAACCATTTTGTTTAAGATTTGTTCACATAATAAAAAGGTTAACATCTTCCGACAATGTCGACGTTTATGACTAATTTATTTACTTTAATTATGTACTTATTTCTGCTATATTGTTACGATAATATATAATTGATCTAAGTACTATGAATTGAGTTTGTAAGTTACAGAAATAAACTACAAATTATGTTTATATTGTATAAACATAATAAATTTAGTAATTTATACCTATTCATATAAGTAAAGAAATATTTAAAAGGATTAGTGATACATAAATACTTTAGATACATTTTTTACAGTAATGTAAACGGAGAATAATGAAATAATAAGAACTAAACAAAAGATACGATATCGATTCCATAATATATCTAGAAATGAGTAGATAATATCTACTCATTTCTAGGTCCACAATAACAAAAAATGTACAGTATAATTATTATATCATTTAATTAAGTCCTGACCTCAAAATAGTATAAAATAAAGTTATCTATGGCTGTGGATTTCCTCGATTACCTACTTCGAAATCACTCAACGTTAACGTTGTTAGGGATATATCTTTAAGATATTTTTACAGTTGTATGTATAAAAAATACATCCTAACATTAATGTTATTCAAGTATTACATACATACAAGTAGAAAATATGTAAAATGAAGGAAGAGCTTATGTGAACAAAAATCTTAAAATATTACACGATACGGCACCAAAATGAGGATACTGTTGCTTTCAGATGTCAAACTAAAGTTTAATATATGCATTAGGTAAAATTAAAATTAATTACCCATCTGCGAGAAATCGAGAGGTACGATATGTGTAATGAATTTTGGATGAATAGTAAGTACTAACTTCGTATCATATGATATACATATATATCTATTTATAATATGTCTAATTTCCGCAAAAAATCTTAAGGAAACTTAAAATATTGATTCTCTTTAGCGAATTATCAATAACAAACGAAAATATTAAGGCTCTGTAAATAGCGCTTATAAATACCATTATTACACTATTATTTATATTATCTATGTAATAGATAGATATATATATATAAATATTAATATTTTGACAATACTGCTACAAAGTGTTTTCATTAAACACCTACACTAAATCGACTCGTTGGTATTTCTAACATATAGATATATTATTTACATTTAAAAATCAAATAACATATGTTATGTAGAAAAATTAAAATGAAATGGTGTTTATAGCCGATTGAATATTCAAAATTATTCACACGTAAATCTTAAATACGAAAGCGCACTCAATGCATTTTCGTTGATGTCTTTCGTTAAGTGCTACGGCAGACACATTAAATCGTAAATATTTTGAGTTTATATTTAATTATAATAAAAATTGATTTTATTAGTAGATTTTTTATGTTATGCATAAATGTCAATAATTTTATAGATTCTTATAATTTTGAAAAAGAAATAATTATGTTTATTCAATTAATTAAAAGCTATATTTAATTTATGGTAATACCCAAAATGACTTAAAATCATTATTATTTTAATGCTAATATGTATCATAATATTATGCATATATGTAGGTATGTAGGCGCATATGGTTTTCCGTTTTCATGAGGTGCCCAACAATATGTGATTGTTTTATCGTTTCTGTAGGTATAACTGTAATGATTAACAGTAATGTAGGTACCTTCTATAATTGACAATGAGCCGTAAAGTCCACGCAGTGTTGACTTCAAGTAATTATTGCCGGAATTTGATGTTACAACAACCCTACCTACCGTTTTCTTTAAGTACAAGTAGATTGAACCAGAAAAAAGAATGACACGACTGTCTAACTAACTTTACAGACAAAGAAAACTGTGTATGTGTGTGGTGTGGTGTAAGTGACATTAGCTTCTTTAATACAAATATGAAGATAATAATAACTATCGTAAAAGAAATACTCGGAGCTACATTCTATATTATATAGGCTACTTACTATAACAGGGTAAATTGTTGACATATGTTATGGTTATGGGCCTCCCCAGGTCTCCTCTACTTATTCCAGTATTGGAACGTCAATGGTTGGATTTTTTTACCTAGAAAGGAAAACACCTACTCCCTGTAATTTCACTGCAATATCTCACCCTTCAAACCAGAACACAGCTTACAAAGCAGGCTACTTGTCGAAGAAAATAATCACGTAGATGACTTTGTACAAAGTGTAAAGGAGCCCTGCAATATTTACCTGGCGAGTCCGTCGCCGACCTGTCCGAGTCGGAGTCCCGGTGCGCGCTGAGGTCCCTGGGCGCGGCGTCGTGCAGTATGTCCGTGATCATAAACCTGGTGCGGGGTGCGCGCGCGTCGCGCTCGTCGCGCTGCACCGTCATCGCCACGGCGCCGCCGGCGGGTCCCGCGCCGCCCGCCGCACCTCCTACCGCATCCAGCGCGGGGGCGCGCCACCCCCGCCCCACGCTCAGCACCTCGCTCGCCCCCAGCTCGACGGGACCGCGACGGTCACCGCACCCGGCACATCACACGTACCCACCACACCGGGATCAGCCGAGTCTACCCACTATGCCGTGTCCGATCCAGTGCATCGCTTTAATCCACACAGCCCTAATGTCTGATCGTACACGTTAGCAAAGACCAGTTCGATCCAGAAACACCTGTTCGTTAAAAGTTATCGCACTCTGTCGCAAACACTGCAAAGAATATATAGTTCACCACTATTAATGTTCCATTAGAGTTCGGAGAACTTACAACGTCGCTTCGGGAGAGCGGTACGTGTTCGTTTCGTGGTGGACGTCGGGGGTACACACGACACACGCGTCGAGGTATGGTGAGCGACTGAGCGGAATGTGCTGGCGCCGCGGTGGGCAGGAGGCGGCGCTGGCCAATGGGTGTTGGGGCGAGCGCGCCAGCCAACGGCGCATGGGGGCGGGCCGCTGCCATGTTGCTCGCGAGGCACCGCTAATGCTCTTTTTGCCGACTCGCCGCCGGGAGAAAGCTCCGCGCGGATTTAAGCTTTTATACGTGGATAAAACGCTTTTATAGGAAAATAAAGCGTTCTCGCAGCGGGATATCGCACTTTATGACGGCGTTTTACTGAAAGTTGGCGACACTATACTCTAGTAATTGGTTGACGCCCGCCAAATTGAGGCTATGTTGCCGGAGCTTTGAAGCTTTGTACAAACTGGAATACAGATGAACGTTGTTATAGTGCTAATTTTATATCAGTTGGATGGGTGGGTTGTTTATTATACATATTTATAATACATAGTATTCTAAATTTTTAAAAATATGTGAATATATTATCTTCTATCTACATCATAAATAAACCCCACTCCAAAACTTAAACTTAATAAATCTCCAATCTTACCCAATTTAACTATTGTAATTATAAATAACTTATTTCAAATAATAACCAAATACAGATCTTAAGTAGGTATAAGGTTCCCTGCAGAGTTATACAGTTATATTTTATTTAAAGAACATAGTTTTCTTCTATTTCCCCACGGAAAAGCTAGGCCAATTGTTTGTTCTAATCCGTATGTCCTAAAAATCAATCTGTTCTAAAAAGGTACCTACTTAATGTTTAGGTAATTATTAGATCATTTGAGGAAATAATTTAATTTCATAAAACTTTAATAAAAAATTTGATTTGTTTAATGACAGCAACCACTTTCTAATAGACCGATATACAGATTAGTCTGAAAGAGCTATAATAATAATAATAATAATAATATATTGTACATAAGAGTCAATAATTTTAACATACAAGTGTAATTGTGCCATCTGAACTAGTATAAAATTATACTGTATCTCATATATATAGCACATGTTAAGGCGATACCCAGTAATTCAGAATACTATTGCAGGGTGTCTTGTCGCCATAAAATAAATAAGAGCCACTTGCACTACGCGCTTGGCACAATATTCTTCTCTTAATTCTTCCGTAATTATCAGTAATATTACTATTACGATACCTACTTCATTATATCATTTCTAACTCAGTATACAACTGCCTCGTATGGACTTTCTTTTCATGTAATTACATAGCCTCTCATTTATACAAACTATTTCAGTCCTATTCATGTGTAATATTGCAATTAAAGTCCATATACGTATAATACAATCTACGTATAGAACATTGTTTATCATAAATAAGCCATTTGAACATTTCTTTATGAAAATTGCGGTCGTTATAGCCACCACTCAACTATATAACTAACGTACTAACGTAACTTAACACTTATAAATGAAGTAACAATCGTAAATGTTTTTGTGCAATTCACCGGGAAGGTTAAATTTGCCCATTTGCACGAATGATTTTATAGAAGTATTGATTTTCTATAACCTGTTAAAGAAACAGTTACGGCTGTTCCTCGAAACGCCTGTAATCTCATGTGTATGTACTTTCCTATTATACATCAACTTCAGAGCCAAATAGCTCGTTATGACCATGTCAATTCGACCCTTCTACGTTGTCTCTGGAAACTATTGTGATTAATTCCTGGTGGATTTTTCACTATGGTTTAACTAACATAACCTTATGCTCATTTGATCATTCTCCACTGATACTAACGTACTCATGCTATTAGAATAGTTAGGTGGATAGAGGAATGACATTATCATGGATTAAAAACATATGCAAACTGTATTTACATGGAATTTACTACACGTGTTTTGAAAGTTAGTGAGAAACACTCTAGTTATTTTTGACATAATCAATATTTGTTCATAATTAATTGTTCCTAATAAATATTAATCTTTAATATTTAACACGTTTTAATGCGATCTTCAACACAGTGTCAGCGACTGAATTTTAATCTGTGTATATTTGTATTTGTCCACGGTAGAGACTAGGCCTGTAACACAGCCATAGATATGAAGGGAGGACTAAGGCCTTAAAATGTACTGGAGATTTTCAAGTCTATGTTATGTATTGTGACTGTGCTGCGTTCCAAATCAATTTCTATGATAGTAATAGAGGATTTGCATTGATTTGCTTCAATTTATAGAGATTTTATAGAGTTCTTAAGTTAAAGAAAATATTTCTAATCAAGTTCATAATGCTTTGACATCGTTACATAAAGTACGTATATTATATTTCATATTGGGTGACAGTATCTAAAACAATTAAAATCAAATTAATATTAACCCAGGACATTTCACGTGGAACCATCTAGTTCCAAGCTAAAAAGAGTTTGTGTTATAGGCGGTAGACAACTGACATAAATACTTATATCTGATATAATTCATATACAATATACATAGGAAACACCTAGGCTAATACAAATAATCATACTCATGAATATTTGTTCTGTGTAAGGATCAAACTCGCGATGTAAGACGGAGACGATGCTAAACCGCTAGACCACCAAGGCCGTCAAAGAATATTTTGTTAATAAATTATTCATAAAAAGTGTATATTTATAAAACTATCAACAAAATGAATTTTAATTTCTTATTTTACAGTATTTTGGGACTTTTTAAATTAATAATTACTTACAATTCAAAAGGGTTAGGGTTAGGGTTCTTTGACACATTTGACGTTTTATGTAAGGTAACTATGTAAGTAAACGTAAAACTTTTCGTACCAATAACACTAGCTTTGTTTACTTTCTTAATTCATTTAGCCTATTTAAGTACATTATTTCTAAATACTCTAGTATGCACGGGTTCGTATCTAAGTATGGTTATAGGACATATTTAATTGTTAAATGACTTGTAGCGCATTTCGCGCATGATTCGTTACATAGGTATATACTAATTTAAATAATTTGTGTTTAAACTGCGATAATGTTAACCTCAAATCAAAAACCCGTAACAATTATGTATTGTATGTATAGTTAATGTAAATAAAATCAATTCTAATATGCATAACATAATTAACATAGGAATATTATATTATGAATTAAACCGTAACTTTATTTAATACAGTAAAGTGCTCTAGTTTAAAAAAATACATACAATTGAAATTACTCTTTCAATTGTATGTATTTTTTTAATTGCATTAGTAATAATTTTATCTTTACATCCATTAGATATTTAAATACCAAAATAAAATTAATGTTTTTTTTTACCGTAACAAGAAATATATATCTACTAGTATTCGTATTATTATGTATTCTAAAAATAAATATATATATATTTTTTTAAACAAAAACTTAACTTTCTATTTAAGATACTTTCCAATAAAGCAACGAGTGTTAAGTACCCACCACATATGTAAAATTGTTTGCTTCGTATTTTCCTAAAGATAACAAAGTTTTAGATAAGAGTTGTTTAATTAACAATCGGATAGTTCGCGTGTTGGAACTGATCAGTTGGCTCACTACTGTAGTTTACACAAGCAGTTTAACGTGAATCTTTATCTAACTCTATGAAACTATCACCATTGCAATCTGGAAGCGGTGTACTTTTTTGTAATTTGTTTTATGCAAACATACCTATCGGTTGGTGTGTGATGAAATCTATTTTTTTTTACTGGAACATTAATTCGTTGTGAGAGGTTTTTTTTAATTAACCCCGATGTAACTTACATACAATATGCTATATTAATTAATTATTAATATAGCTTATTGTAAGTTACATCGGGGTTATAATTATAACTGAAATGTAACAATTTAAGTACGCTTACTTCAAACATAACAATTATTATTAAAATAATAATAAGTAAAATACCTACAAAAACTATAATTACAATAATAAAACTAAGTATCAAGGTATCTATTCTGGTAGGTTTTATTTTTGTTACGGGAATAACAAATAAGACGTCCTCTCACACAGGAAGATAGTATGTATATGTGTGACAAATTTATCAAAAGTTATTAATTTTGCCTCTTGCCACCAGAAGTTTATGTAGCGAAAACGAAATTAAAAACTCCTTATATAGCCAGACGAACAAAATGTACTTTAATATATTTTTAGTTTTTACTAACTTACTATACAAAATTGCTTATATTGATGTTAAACTACTGATGTGATTAAATAATACTAATATACCTAGGTACTCAAGTTTAAAACATGTAGGTAATCAAGCCAAAAGCAGGGTAAAATAGAAGCTGAGATCAAACTAAGAAAATCCTTCAATTCTTCCCTCTGAAAGGTCTCTCTCTTCGGGTCTAGCAGGGAACTTTGGAAAAAATGCCGAGCACAATAGATTTCTAAAGGTCGCAGCAGGGCTAGCGGTCTAAAACACCGAGTAATAGTCCCCCCTCAATAAAAATAAAAAGTAGAATAAAATACTCCTGAAAAAAAAAACGTTTACCAAGACACGATATGCAAATCTAAAGATATTTTATTGCATTTTTAATCTAAAATTATTCATTTCGTACTGTTGACCGAGCAGTTATATGTGAAAGATATTCAACTTTAGGTACTACTTATTGAAAATTGTTAGGGTTATTAAT